TGGTACTGGCACAAGAACAGAGCCACAGAACAGTGGAACAGAATAGAGACTCCAGACACTAACCCAAACATATATGGTCAATTAATACACGATAAAGGAGCCACGGACATACAATGGGGAAATGACAGTCTCTTCAACAGATGGTGCTGGCAAAACTGGACAGTTACATGTAAGAGAATGAAACTGGATCACTGTCTAACCCCATACACAAAAGTAATTCAAAGTAGATCAAAGACCTGAATGTAAGTCATGAAACCATAAAACTCTTAGAAAAAAACACAGGCAAAAATCTCATGGACATAAACATGAGCAAATTCTTCATGAACATATCTCCCCAGGCAAGGGAAACAAAAGCAAAAATGAACAAGTGGGACTATATCAAGCTGAAAAGCTTTTGTACAGCAAAGGACACCATCAACAGAACAAAAAGATACCCTACAGTATGGGAGAATATATTCATAAATGACAGATCCGATAAAGGGTTGACATCCAAAATATATAAAGAGCTCACACACTTCAACAAACAAAAAGCAAATAATCCAATTAAAAATGGGCATAGGAGCTGAACAGACAGTTCTCCAAAGAAGAAATTCAGATGGCCAACAGACACATGAAAAGATGCTCCACATCACTAGTCATCAGAGAAATGCAAATTAAAACCACAATGAGATACCACCTCACACCAGTAAGGATAGACTCCAAAAGACAAACAACAACAAATGCTAGCGAGGTTGTGGAGAAAGGGGAACCCTCCTACACTGCTGGTGAGAATGAAAATTAGTTCAACCATTGTGGAAAGCAGTATGGAGGTTCCTCAAAATGCTCAAAATAGAAATACCATTTGACCCAGGAATCCCACTTCTAGTAATTTACCCTAAGAATGGAGCAGCCCAGTTTGAAGAAGACAGATGCACCCCTAGTTTATCGCAGCACTATTTACAATAGCCAAGAAATGGAAGCAACCTAAGTGTTCATCAGTAGATGAATGGATCAAGAAGATGTGGTACATATACACAATGGAATATTATTCAGCTATAAGAAGAAAACAAATCCTACCATTTGCAACAACATAGATGGAGCTAGAGGGTATTATGTTCAGTGAAATAAACCAGGCAGAGAAAGGCAAGTACCAAATGATTTCACTCATATGTGGAGTATAAGAACAAAGAAAAACTGAAGGAACAAAACAGCAGCAGACTCACAGAACCCAAGAGTGAACTAACAGTTACCAAAGGGAAAGGGACTGGGGAAGATGAGTGGAAAGGGAGGGATAAGGCAGAGAAAAAGAAAAGGGGCCTTACGATTAGCATGTATAATGTGGGAGGGGGGCATGGGGAGGGCTGTGCAACACAGAGTAGACAAGTACTGATTCTACAGCATCTTACTATGCTGATGGACAGTGACTGTGAAGGGGTATGTGGGGGGGACTTGGCGAAGGGGGGAGCCTAGTAAACAATGTTCTTCATGTAATTGTAGATTAATAACAAAATTTTTTTAAAAAACTTAAAAAAGAAAGAAAAAAATTATGTATCTATATTATATATACTGGCTGGTTTAAAATCTTTGTCTAGTAAGTCCTACATCTGGACCCCTCAGGGACAGCTTCTAGGTACTCTTGTTTTCCTGTGTGTGAGCCATACTTTCCTGTTTCTTTGAAAACTTTTCTAAAAATTTCACTGAAAACAGGACATGTCAGATAATGTAATGTAACAGCTCTAGAAATCAGATTTCTCCCACCTCCAGGATCTGTTACGCTGGTGTTTATTAGTGACTTTCCTAGACTAATTCTGTAAATTGTATTCTCTACAGTGTTCAGCCACTGAGTTTTCTGATTGATATGCTTAGTGGTCAGCTAAGGCTTGGTTAGAAATTTCCTTAAATGCCCTGAATCAGTAAGTATTCCATCCTTTGCTGAGAACCTGTGTGTGTAGATGTGCTGTATCACCCAGACAATCTAGCAGCTTAAAACTCTGCCTTGGCTACCACTTCCTGCTTGCACAGGGCCTCTAGGAAGCCATAGGTAAAAGACTAGGGCCCTCTTGAGTCTTTCCCAGGCATGCACACAGCCTTTCATGTTTGTAGAGCCTTTTAGATCCCCAATAATGTATCAGAGCTTTTCAACACCCCTGTGGACACCTCATTCTCTAGATATGCTTTTTAAGCTTTGGCCAGGTTCTTATTTGCCCCAACTGGTGTCATAGCAATAATAAAAAAATGCTAATGGTTGTTTTTAACAATACTCTGAAATTGGGCTTTTCTGCAGACTAAACTTGAAGTCAGGACAAAAAAACAACAAATCCCTTCATGAGGCTTTTCCAGGATGCTGCAAAGAGTCAAATAGTGTCAGTGCTGTGGAGCTAGAACTTTTTAAGGAGCTCCATACACAGTCTGCCCCCTCCAGTAGCTGCATTCATGTATTCAGAGAACTGTGTAACAGGAAGCCTCCTGGAGGAGGTGATGCCAAAGCTGTCATTACGAATCAGAACTAGGACTGATGAAGGGGTAAATAAAATAAAATGTGATATATCCATATAATGGTATGTTACTTGGCAATAAAAAGGAATAAAATGATACATGTTACAATGTAGATGCATCTTAACATTACACTAAGTGAAAGAAGCCAGTTATAAAAGACCACATATTGTATAATCCCATTTTTATAAAATGGCCAGAAAAGACAAATCCATAGAGACAGAATATAGGTTAGTTACTGCCAGAGGCTAGGAACGAGGCTGGGGGACTGGAAGCAACTGTTAATGGGTTCGGGATTTCTTTTTGTCTTCAGATGAATAAGGAAATCAAATGAACTTAACTGTACTTATAGACTGCTAATGTGATGTGGTTTCACTGATGAAAATGTTCTATAATTGACTGTGGTCAAAAAAGAAATTAATTGTGGTGATGCTTACAGTTCTCTGTATACACTAAAAACCATTGGATTGTACACTAAATGGGTGGATTCTATGACATGTGAATTCCATTTCAATAAAGCCATTCTAAAATATAAAAATGAGCTTTTAAGGTTTTCAAATGCTAAGTCATTTAACCAGGTGGTCAAAACATACTAAAAATGGTCCAGCTATCGTCAACTTTTAAAGGGGACATTTAATTACACATATTAGAATTTAGTTTTGTTTTTATTCTGACACTTAAAACATCTTCATCTTCTGCCATCTCACCTGATCGTCCAGTGCAATTGAAGGAATGCCCTGGCTCCAAACGCTACCTGGGAGTTGCTACTGAGTTCACTGGGCAATTTGGGGTTACTGTGATGTTGTACAAAAGGCTATCACACACTATAGGCTATAAATAATTCTATAAATCAAAGCTATCTCAAATACTCACCTAAATATATCCTAGATGTAAGGCAGCCACTGTATAAACCTGTAGTAATAATCAGTTACTAGACTACCATTTGGTACCATGAAATAACCATGTTAGAACTTGTATTTTCAAGTGATCATTCATCTGGTACAACTTTCAGCTCAGTGGATGATAAATCCCTTATTTCATTATCTGTGACCAGTATTCTCTCTCTAAAAAATAATAATAAACCCATCCTCTATTTTTCCAGTTAAAAAGAGCTGACAATATCTCAGCTCAAAAACTAAACATCTGATGAATATACCAACTTATTCTTAAGAAGTCATTTTCTTGCCCTGGTAAGATGAGTAACTGAGTGAATCTAAGTAACACTTCATCATCATAAAGCAAACAGGAAAACACGGTTTCCAAATGATGAAAAATGTCTTGCAATGGGTCTCAGTGCAGAAAGATGAGGAATTCTTCAAGACAAGAGGCAGTACCCTGTGTTATCTACACAGGCTTACTAATACTCTTGAAAAGGTAAGAATTATATTGCAAGTCCACTGACTTATCACTATTGAAATTCTTTCATTCCTATCAGTAAAAGTATGCAACTAGAGATGTGTTTGGCTGATGTTTGGGTCCTTGGCACCTACCAAAGGGCCAGGCACATGGGGATGCAAGTAGTATTAAATGTATGAATAAACATCTTATCTATGATGTTAGATGATAAACATAAAATTTTCATAGTCATAATTGCCTCAAAATTCAGTTGTTAAATGTTGGCGAGGTTTGGAGAAATGGGAACCTTCCTACACTGCTGGTGATAATGTAAACTAGTTCAGCCACCGTGGAAAGCAGTATGTATGGAGGTTCCTCAAAAAACTCAAAATAGAAATACCATTTGATCCAGGAATTTCACTCTTAGGAATTTACCTTAAGAATGTACCAGCCCAGTTGGAAAAAACAGATGCACCCCTATGTTTATCGCAGCATTATTTACAATAGCCAAGAAATGGAAGCAACCTAAGTGTCCATTAGTAAATGAATGGATAAAGAAGATGTGGTACATATACACAATGTAATATTATTCAGCCATAAGAAGAAAACAAATTCTACCATTTGCAACAACATGGATGGAGCCNAGAGGGTATTATGCTCAGTGAAATAAGCCAGGCAGAGAAAGACAAATACCAAATGATTTCACTCATATGTGGAGTATAAGAACAAAGAAAAAACTGAAGGAACAAAACAGCAGAAACACAGAACCCAAGAATGGACTAACAGTTACCAAAGGGAAAGGGATTGGGGAGGATGGGTGGGAAGGGAGGGAGAAGAGGGGGTAAGAAGAAAGGGGGCATTACAAATAGCATGTATAGCATGTATAATGTGGGGGAGGGCATGGGGAGGGCTGTGCAACACAGAGAAGACAAGGTAGTGATTTTATAGCATCTTACTACGCTGATGGACAGTGACTATAATGGGGTTTGTGGGGGGGGACTTGGTGATGGGGGTAGTCTAGTAAACATAATGTTCCTCATGCAACAGTAGATTAATTATACCAAAAAATATGATTAATTAAAAAACTGTTTAAAAAACAGGTAACTATTTATTGATAACTCATCTGACCCTCTATGAGAGCCCCCTTTCAGATTATTAAGAATGTTTCCACTAAGACAGAGACAAAAACTGGGTATCTTTAATCACCACTTTTATTCAAACTGGACATCACTTGGCACTTGTTATGATACACTGAGAAATTCACAGAATCACCCCCCCGGAACCCACAAAGCATTAACTACAAAGAAACATCACGAATTCAAACTGAGGATATTTCACAAAGAAACTGGTTTGTACACTTCGAAATGTCAAGTTATTAAATACAAAGAAAGGCTGAGGAACTGCTCGATATAAAAGGAAACATCATGACAGTGTGTGATCCTGGATCGAATCCTGGATCTATAGAAGACATTCTAGGACAATCTACAAAATCCAAATAAGGGTTATATCGTATCAATGTTGATTTCTTGATTTTGATGGTGTGTACTATGGTTATTTAGGAGAGTAATTTTAATAAAGAATGTTCATCATGACCAGGACCATCAACAACACTTCCTGACTCTATAGAACATGTAGATTATGACAATGAATAGCTTGGATATGATTCTTAGTTCAGTTACCTGTAAGCAATCCATTATGAAAGGGGATTGTTAACACTGAAAACAACAATTCTCCAAGCACAGTGAAAAGAATGCCAAGGTGGGCAGTAAAGGAAATAAGAAAGAGGAAGGATAAATCACCCACATATGGAGTAAGAACGCTCAGAAAGGCAGGTATCTGGTGGTCTTGGAATTGGGGTAGTAATCAAGGATAACAGGTATGAGAGGCATAAAGGAACAGCTACCCTCACACCTAATAGCTTTCATCATATTTGTTATCAGGAGACCAGCATTGTTACCAGCCTCATTAAAAATTAATTATAAATACTATTCAGCATTAAAAAAGAAAATACTGATACATGCTATATCTGACCCTCAAAAACATATGGTAAATAAAATAAGCCAGACACAAAAGACCACATATTGTATGCTGTTGTTTTTATGAAATGTCCAGAAAAGGCTAAACTATACAGACATTAGATTAGTGGTGGCCTGTAATCCCCATTTGATTAGAGTAAATACACAACTCATTTATAATCCCAAAATTAAGGCTGAGTTTTCTCATCTGCTACTTTTGTGACAATTGTAGTACCTAACTCATAAAGAGCTCTGTGAATATCAAATAACACAGATTAAAAGCTTAGAACAATGCCCAACACTGAGGAAGGGCTCAAGATGTCCACACACACACACGTCCAGCTTAAATTAAGAAAATAAAATGCATGTAAAAAAACATGCATGTAATAAATTATAAACATAGAAAAAATATAAGCTCATACTTAAAAAGGCTCAGCAACAAATTGCCACTCTAGACCTATTCCTTTATCAAGGTAGTTTAAAATATTTTGAGAGAACTTTTTAAAAATAAAGTATAAGAATGAAGGGAACTCACTAAATATATTGTTATTTCCCTAATATTTGGGCTTTAAATAAAGTGTAAGGAAATGTTGAGACTCTTCCTCAGCCTCTCATCTTCTTAGATTGACATTTAGATGTGTAATTCCTTAATTACATGATTTTTCAGTATTTTCCACATTTTTTTCTAAATATAAAACTCTTTTATTGAAAATGGACTTCCCTCTCGTTTTAACTCTAGTAATTTTTTATTATAAAGAGTAGGCTGTTATTTTAGATTTACAATATAATCCTGGACCAAAAAACCTCAGAAGTCACTACTACTGAGGCCAAAGGCACCTAACCTCACTGACATATGTACAATCGTCCATGTTTTCTTGTCTTTTAAAACAAATCTTATGGTAATGGAGGCACCAAAGTTCTCTCTCTTCCAGCATGTGCCGAAGTATGATATAAATCACTGAGGCCTCCTGAACTCAATCCTGTTCACCGACTCTTTCAATACAGGTATACAAAGTGAAAAGTTGCTAACCCATCACTCCACCAGACAAATAAAGTTGTTTAATTTTAATCCTTTGAAATAACTATTCCATTGAACATAACCTGTATATCTTTGGTTACACTATTTTGTCACCAGCATCAACATTTATAGTCTCTCGTTTATTACCTTTAAGACCATTTATAAAATGAACTTGTTTTCATTACTCTGATTCCTTATTCCCAGAAAAAATTCCCAACATGAGGAGAAAGTAGAGACAAATTTCAGTATTTGATAAGTTTCATCTTGATAACTTCAAAAACAAATGTACTCTTTACACTGCATTATAAAAAATACATTAGTCTTCACATTAGTTTTAAGTGGAAATATATATCTGCTTGAATATTTAAATATAGTTTCTCTTTACCAAAAAAGTGTCACTCAGAGCCCTAGTCACGCAAATCATTTAAATGCACAACTGCAAAACACACTTCACACAAATACTGTCCACATACTGTTTAGCTTGGGAGAATGATATTAAAAATCTATGCAAGATACTGGACAAGTTTAATAAAATATTCACTGTGGTTGTAATTTGATATTTTACACTAAAAGAACCTAATGTATTCTTGAGTACACAAAAAAACCACTTGTTTTATCTAATATGAAAATTAAGCCAAAAGCTATTTTGACAAAGGGGTACATCTTGTATCCCACCAAATTCTGAAAGCAATTAAATTTTTACAATTTCAAATTTTCAAGCTTGTCAAAAATAATGATCAAAGGAACTTAATAAACATTCTCAAAATGTTTTCTAAAAAAATCATCAGAACTGTATTGTATATGTTTTTAGTAATATAAATTTAAAATACAAATCTTTTTCCTTTTAAAAAACATGGTATTTAGGAGAATTTCCACTGTGAAAAGGTAGTAAAATTTAAGTCTTTGATCACTGGAATTCTAAGAATTGTCCTTTCTGTTTGATGTAATCACAATTGATATGATATATCCTAATTTCATAGTACATTATTTCCATATGATCTCTTGCTTTTATACTTACACTAAAAGCACGCAGAATGCCTACTAATAGTACTTAAGAGAATTACTTTTCATAGGGAAAAAAAGATGCCAACACCCACAAGTGGAATATTTTCATGTGTTAGCTTCTTGTTTACTTCTCAATCAGTTGGACAGTTTTCTTCCTAAATCACAATTGGGGGATTATTTTAAACTGTGGCCCACAGTGATATTTTAAGAAAGGAAACTAAAATTATGTGTGTATATGAGGCAAGGTTGAAGTTGCTCTGCAACTAGAAATATAAACATTTATCCACTTTTTCCACATAATTAGAAGAAATTACAACATAACACCATTGTAACACACCCACAGGTTAAATAATGGCCCCTGAAATAAAACTACATTTAGAAGCCAACTGTTACACTACATTTAACTCTAAGGTAACACATTTTTATGTCTGAAATCATGGTGCACTGATTTAGTTTCAATAAAAGATGGTTTGTACAATATAGTTGAACTTCATGTTTCCCTTTAACATTAATGATAGAAAAGGATCCAGCATCTTAGCTTAACAGGATAATTTGATGCATCTGTACAAACTCAACCAGTGTCTGAATAAAGGATCAAAACATATTCTGAGTGCCTCGGCCCTAAACTGTGTATCTTAACAACTTCATCAGTTAGCAAGTTTAAGGAATGCCAAACAAACATACTAATACATAGTTTTTCACTTGCAAAATGGGCCTCCCTTAGGTTATCAGTTATATTAGAGCTTTTAAAATACTAAGATTATAATTTGTTAATGACAATTAATGGTCTTCCCAAATTACCAATTGTTTCAGTTCAAGGTATTAAAAAATGGTAACATCTAAAATCAAGAGATAAAGTCATAAGATAACCTGGATTTCCAATATTAAACCACGAACCATTCAGGTAGAAGGGAACAGAGGTGGTAAAAAAGCATAATTACACTGGCAAGGTCATTTTCCCCTTAAGATCCAATAATGCTAAAGAAAACCTTACGGAGCCTGTATATGTGCATGTGTCCAAATGAGTAAAGTTAGAGACTTGCAGATCCAATGTAAATAACGCAGGGGGAGTTTGTGTTATGTATGTATATAAAATCACCAAGCAGTTTTTTTAAAAGCTGGATTAAAGGCTATGGAATTTCATTATCTAGGATGCTTTTAAAAGAGAGAGAAATTATATTTTGTTTGTGATTATTTAAGTCACCCCCACTCAAAAGCTGAGATCATTACAGTTCTTTTTAATTATCCAGTTAGAATACGATATTGACAATGCCACTCTGAAACACACAGAATGTAAGTACATATTCACTTGTTCCAATTTCTAAAAAAAAGATAGCATGTAATGTTTGCCACATTCATTCTTTCCATATTATAACCTGACATGAGACACAATCATAAAAAATAAATAAGAGGGACATGACCTGAGGGAGAAAACTGTATATGTTGTGCTAAATTATGTGATATAAATTAAGGTGAAGGTCTATAGCAAATGGACAAAGGGTGCTTTTGAATCTTTAAAAGAAAAGGACTTTAAACACTAACTTTAAATGAATATAAAAATTCTGAAAAATAATGTCTATAGCAAAATAGTTGAAGGTTACTTTTTTCACCAAAGTTGGGAGAGCTATGTATACTAAGTACCAAATGTATTTCACTTGCAGTACCAAATCCTCAACTAGCCTGAAACCAAACACTTCCAGTTTACCTCATGACTTCTTTGGTACCCGAGTCCTCATCCTATCAGAATATGGTATTTGAGCACTTAAACTTCTCAAAGCATATATTTTAACAGGCTTAAAATGCTTTCTCTTTTTTTTCCTATGACGTTTGTTATTACCATTCTTCTTTCTTTCTTCAACACTGGAGGAATCCTCCGCAAGTTGCTTGGGGGAATAGTCTGCTATAGAGTTTAAGGGCTCTTCTGCATCAGTTGATGGAACTGAGGAGTCTGAAAGCTTTTGGGCTGGTTTCTTTGCCTCCTTTATCTTACTGACACAAGGTTTTTTCTTCCTAAATTGCATTCTAACAAAAGTGCTCCTGGAGTGGTGGTATTTGTGACGCAAAAAAATGGAGTATTTTGGAATATATTTTCTAATTACATCATTTAGTTTGGTATGAATCCAAATTGACTCTTTTTCTGAAGCGATTCTGGTTTTTTGCTGGAGAATAATTTGTCTGGAAGCCTTTTTGGGAAAATCTAGCTTGTTATTAGCTGTCATCTTCTTTCTCTGAATTTTCTTTTTACGTTCTAAAATCTTATTTCTAACTGATTTTGGAGAGGTTTGGGCTGTGTCGTGATCTACAAGAGTTGACTGTGTACTGTTTTCCTTTGGAACTTCACCAGAATTCAAAGTCTCTGATTTTCCTGGTAACTCAGAACATACACTAGCCCCTTGATTTCCCGTCAATTCATCTCTTACCGACCACGTCATCAAAGTTTCTGAAGCAGGGCTTTGTACATGAGTGTTATCTTCTGCACTGGAGTTTAGGTCACTAAAATCATTTTGAACCAGGTTATCCCTGTCAGACTCTGGCACTTCTCTGTTCACAGGAGGATTACTTACAATTTGATTACTCACTGGGTCATAATAATTAAGGGGACTCCGTTTATATTTGTAGTGTACAGTAACCTCCCGACTATTTTTGCCATGGCGGTGCTTTATGTGAGATAAATTGAAGGGTTCACCAATCTTCAGTTTCATATTTGAAGAAAGAACATAGACTAAGGCATTGGGTTGCAAAGGCTTCAAAACTGTAGTACATGATTCTGGAAATTCAAGTGTTCCTATTTTGACTCTCCTCTTTGACTGTTTGTCCTTCTGTGCGGGTGATCGCTTCCTTGTTGGCAAGTCTGCCTCTTCTCCTCTTCTTCTTTTCTTTCCCAAATTATCCATGAGATTGGTTTGAGTTCCATGGCTGACTTTTGCAGCTTGGCATCGAGAAGTCACTTGCAAATTTTGTTCATAAGGCTTCTTTGCTATAGGATGATGGGTAGGTTTATCTAAGGCCACTGAAAAGTCATCAGTATCTGAATTACCACCTCCATTATCATCACAGTCCGAAAAAATTTGAATGGATGCAATGCCCTGACTGAGGTCAGCCCAGGTAATCTTTTTTCCTTCATTTGAATTTTTTTTTTTTACTTTCTTGGTCTCACAGTCATCGTCAAAGTAACAGTGGAAACGGCCTTCCTTAAATTCCTTCACAAGAGCATTAATTTTCATGTCATCTTCTCTCATTATTTGAGACCATGTTTTCCCCACAAATGAAGGAGGGACATGAGGCAAGGCTTCAAGAACCGGTTCATCAGAATTGTCTTCTACAACATCCTTTGCTTCCTCTGGGTTCCTTACACAATCAACCACGGGAATAGAGCTTGAATGGGAATCACGGTTTGTTTCTTTACGGTCAGACGACATCTTAGATAGTTCTGTTTTATTAATAGTTTCTTGAGTTCGGTCAGAGTCAGATGGAAGAGAGGGATCACGCTGAAAATTCATCCCAGAACCAGAAGGTTCACAGCTCATACTTTCTATATCTGTATGTTTTAATTTCAAAAGGTTTTCTTTATCAGCAACTTGATGGATTGTTGACTTAGGAGCAGCATTACAATCCATCGCAGAAACACTAGATACACATTTCTTACCTTTTAGGTTTTTTTTTTTTTTCCCATCTTTCCAAGAGTAGACCTTCTTGTCAGCTTTCTGTGGTCGGCGAGTCACTGGCTGAGGAGTGTCTTTCCATTCAAGATTTCTTTTAGAACTACTAGATGCACAGCTTGTATCTTCTGAGTGAAAATATTTCACTGTTTCTTCTTCAGGCTCTTGAGATTGGTAGGTCATGGACTGATAAGATGGATCAATTTGAAAACTTATTTCAGAACCATAAGGCTCACAGCTTGACTCTTCCAGAATAATATAGTCTTTCTTCTGGTTTACTACTTTGAAAGTGTCTTTGGATGGGTTTGTCACTGACTGAGGAGTGGCTTCACAAATGTATCCTAGTTCAGCACCGCAAGGGCCATAGCTCACACCTTCTAGATTAAAACTTTCTGTATTTATACAGCTGATTTCCTTGACAGTCATTTGAGGTGAGTCAATCACTTGCTGAAAAGCCGTATCAGAATCAGCAATCATTTCACAATCACTATCAGGGGTCACCAGGTCCACATATAGCATCTTTTCAAGATTGGCTTCTTTGACTGTCACATCACCTTCGTTAACGACTATTTGAAGAGGGATATCAGAATCACACATTTCCGAATCACTAGGTTCACTGGTCTTTTCTTCCATGCCAAGATGCTGTTTCTTCGGAAGGTGTATTTCTTTGCAAACCACTTGAGGTTGGTCAACTTGAAGATGAACACAAGAACCACATTTTATTTCAGAAACACCTGGTTCACAGGTCTCACTTTCTAGGTCATTCTGATCCTTCTTTTCCAAGTGTATTTCTTTGATAGCCACTGAAGACTGACCAGCCACAAAATGAACGGGAGTATCAGAATCACAGCTTACTTCAAAATCACCTAGTTTATAGGTCTTATCTTCCAGGTAAATGTGGTCTTCCTTCCAAAGACCTATTTCTTTAACAGTTTTCTGAAGCTGGTCAGCCACTGACTGAAGAGGACCACCAGAAGCAAAACTCATTCCAGAACCACACAGATCACTGCTCTTCTCTTCCAAATTGGCATGTTCCTCTTCCAAAATGTGTGGTTGCTGAACTACTGACTGAAGAGGGACATCTGAAACATAAATTATTTCAGAACCATTGGGTTCATAGCCTTTATCATCCAGACAAACTTGTCCCTCCCTCAGAAGATTTATTTCTGTAATAGCCTCCTGAATTTCATTAGCCACAGATGAAAGAGGTTGATTAGAGTCAAAATTTATTTTAGAATCACCAGGTGCAACAATCTTATCTTCCAAGTCAACATGCCCCTTCCAAAGGTTGACCTCTTTACCAACTTCTGCAGTTTGGCCAGCCACTGATTGAAAAAGGACATCAGAATCATATGTAATTTCAAAACCCTTTGATTCATCCCTCTTGTCTTCCACGTCAACTTCGTCCTTCCAAAGGCTTATTTCTTGAACAGTTTCTCTAAGTTGGTCAGCCACTGATTGAAGAGGGTCATCAGAATCAAAACTCATTTCAGAACCACCAGACTGACTGTCCTTATCTTCTAGTTCCATATGTTCCTGCTCCAAAATAGTTATTTGAGGTTGATCAACTATTGACTGAACCAAGAAATCAGAATCCAAACTCATTTCAGAACCACTATATTGACTGTTCTTATCTTCCAAGTACACATGACCTTCATTCTCAAGGTTTATTTGCTTAACAGCTATGTCAGGTTGATCAGCCACAGGCTGAAGAGAAACACCAGAACCATGTATTAATTTAGAACCACTAGGTTCATCAGCCTTACTTTCCAGGCCAATATCCTCTCCCTTCTGGAGGCCTGTTTTTTCAGCCTCTTCCTGAAATTGTTCAGACAATGGCTGAAGAGGATCAAAAGAACCAAAACTTAAAGAGAGAAATTATATTTTGTTTGTGATTATTTAAGTCACCCCCACTCAAAAGCTGAGATCATTACAGTTCTTTTTAATTATCCAGTTAGAATACGATATTGACAATGCCACTCTGAAACACACAGAATGTAAGTACATATTCACTTGTTCCAATTTCTAAAAAAAAGATAGCATGTAATGTTTGCCACATTCATTTTTTCCATATTATAACCTGACATGAGACACAATCATAAAAAATAAATAAGAGGGACATGACCTGAGGGAGAAAACTGTATATGTTGTGCTAAATTATGTGATATAAATTAAGGTGAAGGTCTATAGCAAATGGACAAAGGGTGCTTTTGAATCTTTAAAAGAAAAGGACTTTAAACACTAACTTTAAATGAATATAAAAATTCTGAAAAATAATGTCTATAGCAAAATAGTTGAAGGTTACTTTTTTCACCAAAGTTGGGAGAGCTATGTATACTAAGTACCAAATGTATTTCACTTGCAGTACCAAATCCTCAACTAGCCTGAAACCAAACACTTCCAGTTTACCTCATGACTTCTTTGGTACCCGAGTCCTCATCCTATCAGAATATGGTATTTGAGCACTTAAACTTCTCAAAGCATATATTTTAACAGGCTTAAAATGCTTTCTCTTTTTTTTCCTATGACGTTTGTTATTACCATTCTTCTTTCTTTCTTCAACACTGGAGGAATCCTCCGCAAGTTGCTTGGGGGAATAGTCTGCTATAGAGTTTAAGGGCTCTTCTGCATCAGTTGATGGAACTGAGGAGTCTGAAAGCTTTTGGGCTGGTTTCTTTGCCTCCTTTATCTTACTGACACAAGGTTTTTTCTTCCTAAATTGCATTCTAACAAAAGTGCTCCTGGAGTGGTGGTATTTGTGACGCAAAAAAATGGAGTATTTTGGAATATATTTTCTAATTACATCATTTAGTTTGGTATGAATCCAAATTGACTCTTTTTCTGAAGCGATTCTGGTTTTTTGCTGGAGAATAATTTGTCTGGAAGCCTTTTTGGGAAAATCTAGCTTGTTATTAGCTGTCATCTTCTTTCTCTGAATTTTCTTTTTACGTTCTAAAATCTTATTTCTAACTGATTTTGGAGAGGTTTGGGCTGTGTCGTGATCTACAAGAGTTGACTGTGTACTGTTTTCCTTTGGAACTTCACCAGAATTCAAAGTCTCTGATTTTCCTGGTAACTCAGAACATACACTAGCCCCTTGATTTCCCGTCAATTCATCTCTTACCGACCACGTCATCAAAGTTTCTGAAGCAGGGCTTTGTACATGAGTGTTATCTTCTGCACTGGAGTTTAGGTCACTAAAATCATTTTGAACCAGGTTATCCCTGTCAGACTCTGGCACTTCTCTGTTCACAGGAGGATTACTTACAATTTGATTACTCACTGGGTCATAATAATTAAGGGGACTCCGTTTATATTTGTAGTGTACAGTAACCTCCCGACTATTTTTGCCATGGCGGTGCTTTATGTGAGATAAATTGAAGGGTTCACCAATCTTCAGTTTCATATTTGAAGAAAGAACATAGACTAAGGCATTGGGTTGCAAAGGCTTCAAAACTGTAGTACATGATTCTGGAAATTCAAGTGTTCCTATTTTGACTCTCCTCTTTGACTGTTTGTCCTTCTGTGCGGGTGATCGCTTCCTTGTTGGCAAGTCTGCCTCTTCTCCTCTTCTTCTTTTCTTTCCCAAATTATCCATGAGATTGGTTTGAGTTCCATGGCTGACTTTTGCAGCTTGGCATCGAGAAGTCACTTGCAAATTTTGTTCATAAGGCTTCTTTGCTATAGGATGATGGGTAGGTTTATCTAAGGCCACTGAAAAGTCATCAGTATCTGAATTACCACCTCCATTATCATCACAGTCCGAAAAAATTTGAATGGATGCAATGCCCTGACTGAGGTCAGCCCAGGTAATCTTTTTTCCTTCATTTGAATTTTTTTTTTTTACTTTCTTGGTCTCACAGTCATCGTCAAAGTAACAGTGGAAACGGCCTTCCTTAAATTCCTTCACAAGAGCATTAATTTTCATGTCATCTTCTCTCATTATTTGAGACCATGTTTTCCCCACAAATGAAGGAGGGACATGAGGCAAGGCTTCAAGAACCGGTTCATCAGAATTGTCTTCTACAACATCCTTTGCTTCCTCTGGGTTCCTTACACAATCAACCACGGGAATAGAGCTTGAATGGGAATCACGGTTTGTTTCTTTACGGTCAGACGACATCTTAGATAGTTCTGTTTTATTAATAGTTTCTTGAGTTCGGTCAGAGTCAGATGGAAGAGAGGGATCACGCTGAAAATTCATCCCAGAACCAGAAGGTTCACAGCTCATACTTTCTATATCTGTATGTTTTAATTTCAAAAGGTTTTCTTTATCAGCAACTTGATGGATTGTTGACTTAGGAGCAGCATTACAATCCATCGCAGAAACACTAGATACACATTTCTTACCTTTTAGGTTTTTTTTTTTTTTCCCATCTTTCCAAGAGTAGACCTTCTTGTCAGCTTTCTGTGGTCGGCGAGTCACTGGCTGAGGAGTGTCTTTCCATTCAAGATTTCTTTTAGAACTACTAGATGCACAGCTTGTATCTTCTGAGTGAAAATATTTCACTGTTTCTTCTTCAGGCTCTTGAGATTGGTAGGTCATGGACTGATAAGATGGATCAATTTGAAAACTTATTTCAGAACCATAAGGCTCACAGCTTGACTCTTCCAGAATAATATAGTCTTTCTTCTGGTTTACTACTTTGAAAGTGTCTTTGGATGGGTTTGTCACTGACTGAGGAGTGGCTTCACAAATGTATCCTAGTTCAGCACCGCAAGGGCCATAGCTCACACCTTCTAGATTAAAACTTTCTGTATTTATACAGCTGATTTCCTTGACAGTCATTTGAGGTGAGTCAATCACTTGCTGAAAAGCCGTATCAGAATCAGCAATCATTTCACAATCACTATCAGGGGTCACCAGGTCCACATATAGCATCTTTTCAAGATTGGCTTCTTTGACTGTCACATCACCTTCGTTAACGACTATTTGAAGAGGGATATCAGAATCACACATTTCCGAATCACTAGGTTCACTGGTCTTTTCTTCCATGCCAAGATGCTGTTTCTTCGGAAGGTGTATTTCTTTGCAAACCACTTGAGGTTGGTCAACTTGAAGATGAACACAAGAACCACATTTTATTTCAGAAACACCTGGTTCACAGGTCTCACTTTCTAGGTCATTCTGATCCTTCTTTTCCAAGTGTATTTCTTTGATAGCCACTGAAGACTGACCAGCCACAAAATGAACGGGAGTATCAGAATCACAGCTTACTTCAAAATCACCTAGTTTATAGGTCTTATCTTCCAGGTAAATGTGGTCTTCCTTCCAAAGACCTATTTCTTTAACAGTTTTCTGAAGCTGGTCAGCCACTGACTGAAGAGGACCACCAGAAGCAAAACTCATTCCAGAACCACACAGATCACTGCTCTTCTCTTCCAAATTGGCATGTTCCTCTTCCAAAATGTGTGGTTGCTGAACTACTGACTGAAGAGGGACATCTGAAACATAAATTATTTCAGAACCATTGGGTTCATAGCCTTTATCATCCAGACAAACTTGTCCCTCCCTCAGAAGATTTATTTCTGTAATAGCCTCCTGAATTTCATTAGCCACAGATGAAAGAGGTTGATTAGAGTCAAAATTTATTTTAGAATCACCAGGTGCAACAATCTTATCTTCCAAGTCAACATGCCCCTTCCAAAGGTTGACCTCTTTACCAACTTCTGCAGTTTGGCCAGCCACTGATTGAAAAAGGACATCAGAATCATACGTAATTTCAAAACCCTTTGATTCATCCCTCTTGTCTTCCACGTCAACTTCGTCCTTCCAAAGGCTTATTTCTTGAACAGTTTCTCTAAGTTGGTCAGCCACTGATTGAAGAGGGTCATCAGAATCAAAACTCATTTCAGAACCACCAGACTGACTGTCCTTATCTTCTAGTTCCATATGTTCCTGCTCCAAAATAGTTATTTGAGGTTGATCAACTATTGACTGAACCAAGAAATCAGAATCCAAACTCATTTCAGAACCACTATATTGACTGTTCTTATCTTCCAAGTACACATGACCTTCATTCTCAAGGTTTATTTGCTTAACAGCTATGTCAGGTTGATCAGCCACAGGCTGAAGAGAAACACCAGAACCATGTATTAATTTAGAACCACTAGGTTCATCAGCCTTACTTTCCAAGCCAATATCCTCTCCCTTCTGGAGGCCTGTTTTTTCAGCCTCTTCCTGAAATTGTTCAGACAATGGCTGAAGAGGATCAAAAGAACCAAAACTTATTTTGTAATTACTAGATGTAGTTTTTGTAGTTTCCAGATCAATGTTTTTTTCCTTCAAAAGAGCTAGCTGAGACTGGTCAATGGCTGAATGAAGAGGGGCATCAATACCCAAATTTGTCTCAAAACTTCTAGATTCAGTATTTTCACTTTCTGGATCAACATGGTCCTCTTTCAAAACAACTATTTGAGGTTTTTCAGTCATTGACTGAGGAGGGACACCAGAATCAAAAATTACTGTAGGACCACTACAATTGTCATTCTTGTTTTCTAGAATATCATATTCTTCTTTCTGAACATTTATCTCTTTAGCAGCAATTTGAGGTTCAGTCACTGAATAATGAGGGACAGCAGAAGCAGCAATTTGAGGTCCAGTCACTGAAAAATGAGAGGCAACAGAAGCAGCAATTTGAGGATCAGTCACTGAATAATGAGGGGCAGCAGAATCTAAATCTTTTTCAGAACCACTAAATTCAGCCCTTTCCCCTTTGAACTTAACATGCTTTTCTTTTTGAAGCCATTTTTCCTTAACACTTACTTCATGCTTATGAATGACTGACTGAAGAGGAATATTAGAATTCAAACTTGTTTGAGAAACACTTAATTTATTACCCTTATCTTCTAGGTTTACATGTTCTTTCTGATGGCTTATTTCTCTATCAGGTATGTCAGGATGATGAGCTCTTAAATGAAGAGAAATATCAGACTGCAAACTGGTATCAGAAACACTAGGTTCACTACCCTTATTTTCTAAGTGTATGTGCTCTTCTTTCTGAAGGTTTATTCTGAGATCTTGAGAATGTCCAGTCATTGATTGAAAAACATTATAACCCAAACCTAATCCAGAAACACTAGGTTCATTTTCCTTACTTTCTAAGTGTACCTGCTCTTCTTCTTGAAGTTTTATCTTTTTAACAGCTACTTCAGGAGGCGCAGTCACTGAATAAGGATGGACATAAGAATCAAAACTTATTTCAGAACCATCGCGTTGATCATTCTTCCTTCTTAATTGTACATACTCTTCTTTCGGAGTGATTATTTCTTTAACAGCTACTTCAGGTTGATCAGTCCCTGAATGAAGAGGTATATCAGAATCAAAAGTTATTTCAGAAACACAAGATGCATTACTCTTAGTTTCCAGATCAAGAGGTTCCTCTCCATAAACAGCTTCTTGAGACTGGCCACCTAGTGAGCGAAGAGGAATATCAGAATCAAAAGTTATTTCAGAACAATTTGACTCACAGCTTACATTTTCCAAGTTAAAGTGATCTTTTCTTATCTCTCCAACATTCAGCTCAGAATGCTCAGTAACTGACAGAAGAGGCGGATCAGAATCAAAAGTCAACTCAGAACTGGAGCACCCATAGCTCTTAACATCCATGTCAACATTTACCTTTTTCAGATTTATTTCACCCAGTGAGCCTTGAGATTGATCATTAGCTGAATGAGAAAGGGAAGCATGAGATTCAAAACTTAGACAAGAAATGCTAGATTTAACACTCTTATTCTCCAGGTCAGTGGCTATTTCTTGAGGGTCAGCTGCTATCTGAGCATCCGTATGAAAACTCATTTCAGTACCTTGAGATTCACAGTCATTCTTCTCTTTCAGAAGATTTATTTCTTCAACAGCACTCTGAGGTTCATCAGTCACTGTCTCAGGAGAGAGACAATCACAATGAAGATATGCTTTATCACAACTGGACTTATGTTTCTTCTTATCTTTCAGGTAGACGTGCCTATCCTTCAGGTTTCTGTCTCTGGAAGCCAACTGGGAGTGACCAACTACTGACTGAAGAGAAACATCATAATCAAAACTTGTTTCAGAACAACTTGATCCATAGCTCTTATCAACCAAGCCAACATGAACTTTCTGAAGTTTTGTGGCTTTGACAACCACTGGGAGTCGTTCAACCACTGGCTGGAGTGGGAAAACAGAATCAACACTTATTTCAGAGCTACTAGATCCATAGTTCTTATCAACCAAGCCAACGTGTACCTCCTTAGGAACGTTTACTTCTTTCACAGGTTGTTGGGGGTAATCATCAGTTGACTGAGGTGAGGCATCACAACCAAAATTAACCTCAGAATCACTAGATTCATAGCTTTCATCAACCAGGCTAATAGGCTTTGCCTTCTGAACACTTACATCTTTTACAATTACTCGAGTCCGGTTGGTAGCTAAATGGAGAGAGCCGTCATGATGAGAACTTATTTCAGAAAGACAAGATTTAATATTCCTATGCTGTAAGTCAGCATGCACTTCCTTTGAAAGGTTTATTTCTTTGGCAGTCACTTTAGATTGGTCAGTCAGTGAATGAAAAGAGGAACTGCAATCAAAACTCATTTCAGAATCTCTCGATTCATAGTTCTTATCTTCTTGGTCAATTTGCTCCTCCTTCCAAAGGTCTTGTACAGCCTCTTCGGGTTGACAAGATACTGACTGAAGAGAGCCACAAGCAAACTTCATTTCAGAGCTCACTGAGCTCTTCTGTTCCAAAAAGGCTGACTTGTTAAAACCCAAATGCTTTTCTTCTTGGGTACGATCCACATTAGGAAAGAATTTCTCATGGTGCTTTGGAATTGTACCTTCACAGATTCCTCTATTAGAAGGCAGGTCAGTTTTATTAAGGTTAATTGCTGGGTTTTCTGCTAATTTGGAAAGCGATTCAAATTTTAAGGAACCCTCAGTACCCATATATTCACGGGATTTAAAGCCAGTTGACAAAGGTTTAGCCCATGATTTCCTATCTTCCTGCATAATTAATTTATCTGACTTTATACATAGAGATTTCCTATTTGATTCTTTAGGTTTCTGATATGGAACTGATGAAGTTTCTGGATGGGATGGTAGTATAGGATTTCTGGAGTCCCTGTCTAGCTGTTCAAGGTATCTGTCAACTTTGTTTGGGTCACATTTGATAACTGACTCCAAAGGGGCTGCTAGTGGTAACACAGTGGTTTTAGTTGCAACTGGTCTATCAGAAGACCTTTCAGGTAAACAACTAGCAGGAGCATTAGAAATCACTGAAGGATATATTAAGTTTTGTCTATTTGTAGCTTGACCAATACCTACTGGATTGAATTCTTTCATACCACTCCCAATTTTATGAACAAACTCCAAGGGCTGCTGCTGCCCCTTCTCCAGTTTTTGAATAACTGATGGTCGAATTGAAACATCCTGTTTACATTCCTGAGATTTACTAGGTCTAGAATATAACTCTTTAGTAGGTTCAAAACCCTTGGTGGATCTCTCTCCTCTGACTCCAGTAGCATCTTCAGTCGTTTCTTCTGGAAAATAATCATCAGTAGGGGCCACTCCAAGAGGTGACGCAGTATTCCTAAGAAGTCTCTCATGTTGCATTGATCTAAAAAGCAAGGGGGAAAAAAAATCCATTGAAATATTTTAAATACCTGTTTAAAATGTTAGAAATATAAGAAATGTTATTTTCTTTTTATCCTGGGCCAAGGTTTCTTATAGGACAAAAAAAATCACAGCAATCACACCAGACGGTATCTATTTCAGGAAGGTAATGAGTGCCGAATATGGAGGTTAACTCCACTACCTGCTGCTTCATTAACACAAAAGGCTCATAAGCATGAGAAAAATGTAAATAAAACCACATATCATTTTTCAGTTATCAGAACAGTAAATAGCTAAAAGTTTAACACAAGTCACTTAACCTTCTAGGCTTCAGTTTCTTCCTCCAAAAAGAGAAAATAATTGTATTTTCCTCATGAGAATGTTTTGAGGAGTAAATTAGTTGAAATATAAGGTGCATTTTTTTAAAAAAAAGACCTGGAAAATAGTAATAATTCACAAATGTCAGCTATTATTATTTTAACACACTGTTTTGGCAAGGATGTAATAACAGACCTTTTAATACATTTTTGGTACAACTGTAGGTTAGTTTAATCTCTATGAATAACAATTTGGCAACGTCTGTTAAAATTTTAAATGCCAAGAGGAATCTAAGGAGACATGACAAGTTAATGTAACATGGTTATCTCAGATGAGATCCTAAAACAGAAGATGACATGGGAAAAAACTAAGGAAATCTTAGTAAACTATAGAATTTAATTATTATGTTAATATTGGTTCATTAATTATAAAAAATGAACTATGCTAATATAAGATGTCAGTAACAGGGAAACTGAATGAGTGGGATATAGGTACTCTGTACCATCTTCTCAATTTTTCTGTAAATCTAAAACTGTCCTAAAACATAGTTTATTAAAAAATAAATAATTTTAAAATAGAACAACCCTAAAAAATACCTTTATAAAATATTCTTGAATTTGAGAGATGCCATAATTGTCTAAGAGAATATGTATACATGTCAGCCACGTGCAACTTTCAACATGTCATAAATATTACTGTCCCATAAAAACTTATTATCATAATTAATATTAAGATAATACTTGTTGTAAAATAAAGTTAGCTTAGGTGTCAAAATAATATCATGATGGGGCAAAAAATACCCTTAATTTTTCATACTTCCGGACTCTGATCAATAAAATCACAATGCAATCATCACTTTATCCTAATTTTTCAGAACTGAACCCTAGAAGACTATCTCCATTTGTCTTAAAGATGTAATATTCTCAAAATAAAATTAATTTTGTAATATTTGGATAAGAAAATAAAGGAAAGGAAGAAAGGAAGGCAGAATCATAAAATCAAACAGGTTGACAAAATCCCAAAAAGGTTAGGAATGACTATCTAAGATGCTTTGATTTGCATCTGTACTTGCATGTATGTTTTTAAAATTAACAATTAAATCACAATCTATATTACTACTTATCTTAAACTAATTTTACAATCAAAAAAGCCCTGTAAAAATGTAATCATTAAAGGTTAAAACACTCTTTTATATAACTATTCTGCTAAAAAGGAAACATTTTTAAACTATACAAATAAAACTATATATCAAATTTTATGATATTAAAAAATGAAAATTTCGCACTTTTGAATCTTCCATTTAAAAAAACCAGTAAACACAAATTAACTAAATGAGCACCTAATTTAAGAAGATACAGAAAATAACCAAATTCCCCCAAAAAATTGAAGAAATAAATTAAGAAAAAGAAAAACTAATACATAGGAAACAAAGAGAGTTGAATCTCAAGAAGACTGAACAGGAAAACAACAATGTCGAGATAAAGAAGAAAGAAAAGAAAAAAAATTTTTTTAATATAATTTAGAATGCTTGTAAGTATAAATAACATGATATTGGCACAGGATTTAAAAACAAGGGAAGAAAATGGTATTCAAAATCAGATATATAGATTTGATATATATACATTAATATAGCAATTTAGTTTATGTTAAGGTGACGCTTTGTATCAGTGGAAATAATTAACATACATTTATAAAAGTGTAAGTAGAAATCCTGACTTACACCACATATAAAAACAAATCCCAAGAAGATTGAAAATATTTAAAGAAAAAAAGATATAAAAGAAGCTATAAAGGAAAAATTCCCCTTAGATCTGATTATGTCAAAATGTTTAATTTCTATACGGTATAACATACAGATTCTGAGAAAAAAAATAACACATTTAAAATATAAAGGACTATTATCCATGAATATTGCATACAAATTCAAAATATACAAATAATTCAATAGAAAAACAGGCAAAGGATAATGAACAAACAATTCATAGGATAAGCAAGGCTAATAAATATTTTAAAAGAGGTTAATTTTACTCATAAATAAATAAAGACTAAGAGATGCACTTTTTTGGCCTATTATGTTAGGGAGAGAAAAAGAGGTTGATTATCCCAATGTTGGCAAGGTGACAGGAAATAAGCACTCCATATATTACTGGTATGTATGTATATATACTGCATAAATTGCATATAAATGGGTTCAGCCTTCCAATGAAATGTCTGTCAAGAATTTTAAATTTCTATAAACAATTTGAGCAACAAAACAAGTAACAGTAATGAATTAAAACCTAGGGAACAAACAAAACATATACATGACTTTATAACAATATAAACAGCTGAGTAAGTAGGTGAGGGAGCAAGAAAGCTCTTCTTCATGAGAGAATTCTGATTAATACAAGTAATAACTGCATCAGGGAAGAATCATGAAGAATGCTTAAAGTAAGTGGTGAAAGCAGCATGAGAAACAGGATATTTACACAGTGTTAAAGTACTTCCCTCAGAGGAGCCTTATTAATTATAACAGGAAAAATAGTAACTTTATAGTGCAGAAACTACCTTAATCAAGTGATCCAAATTAACATCACCAGCCAGGAGACATAGCAACATCATGGGTCTCCTGGTATGATACACTGGGAAGTGTACACCACCAATTATAATGTATTCTGTCCCAAAATGTGTAACCTAAATTTAGTCATGAAAAAACATCAGGCATACTCAGATTTACGGATATCCTACCAAACAACAGGTCAGTCCTCTTTTAAAAAGTGTCAAGGTATTGAAAACAAAGGCAGATTGTTTAAGGACATCTAAGGAGATTGGACAACTAAATGCAATTTGTGATCCTAGACTGAAGTCCGGTCCCAAGAAAAGAAAATCAGTAAGACAACTGACAAAATTTGAGTAAGGTCTATAAATAGTACGGTATCAATGTAATTTCACAGATTTGACCATGTGGTTATTTTAGATTTAACATTTGGGGAAACCAGGTGAAAGCTGCACAAGAATTCTTTGTACCACTTTTACATTTTTTTGAGCCTAAAGTTATTCCAAAATCAAAAGTTAAAAAATAAAGCTTTTTTTATGTCTATAAACTTTAGCCCAGAAGTTCAAATTCTAGGAATCTACACTGAAGAAATAGTTTTGTGTACAAATACGTTTGTAGAAGCATTGCTTATATAAGGTATAAATTGGAAATTTATACTCACCCCAAGACAGGCTGACTCTCTTTCTACCAGATAAGAAACCAAATATTTTTTTATAACTTTTCTCCATTAAAACTTTATCACTATTTGCTAAATTCTAGGTTGATAACTTGCAAAGCATTCGAGTTTATCCTTTTAGTACTGCTTAACTAATTCTGCACAGATGTGCTAATGATCTCTTTTACCTTTTTTTATACAGTTGTAGCTGCAAACTCACCACAGTACTTAATCCAGTTTGCTACTGATGTTTTTCTTTAACGTAGGACATGAACTCTTCAATGTTATCGAAGTATTTATTTTTATTTAAGCAACCAAAACAAATTGATACAAAAGAAAGCTATCAAGATACTGACAGATTATGAAAAGGACCAATTCTATTTGAAATCTCTTCTACTCTCAGAGTTAGCAAATAGTTCCACTAACATGGAACTGACTTAGAATTTACTTTGATCACCCTAACTCTGCTGTCACCAGCTTCTCTGTTACTAATTTCTAAAGTTATTTTTGCTCCCACCTTTTTCCCATTTATTAAACCTATAACATACTAATAATACACTTTTATGATATACAATTATTTACTGGCCTAAGACTTACTTAGGTAAGAGCATACTGCAGTCCATATCCTTTACAGTGAAATTTCTTACTTAAGCTAGGAAAAATAAGAAATGCAAAGGGAAGTTACTAGACAAAATTTCACTTTTATGCCTCGATTTAAAGATTTGCTTTAACAAAACTGACAGAGAAAAACAGCAGCAAACTCATAGACTCCAAGTAGGGACTAGCATTTACCAAAGGGAAGGAGTTGGGGAGAGTGGGTGAGGAGGCAGGGAGTAGGGGATTAAGGGTCACTATAATTAGCACTAACAATATAGGTAGGTCAAAGGGAAGGCAGTATAGTACAGAGAAGACAAGTAATGACTCTACAGCATCTTACTCTGCTGATGAACAGTGATCGCAATGGGGTACGAGGTGAAAGTTGAAACTACAATGTTGCTCATGTGAAACCTTTATAAGATTGTGTATCAATGATATCTTATTTTTAAAAAAATATTTTCTTTAATTAACACAAACATCTACTATAATATGTAATAACTATGTACTAGTATTATTCCACATGGCTACTTTACCTGCTTTCTAGACAATGGTACGGGTGGTGCCGCAGTACATCCTGCAAGAAGCGTTCCATCAAACTACTGGTACACATCCGCTGTCTGCTCTGTGAGGTCAAGTGTCTGTGCTGGGCACTGGACATATGCTATAAAGCAAAAAGAAACTCAGTATTTTTAAATGGGCCATACTCATTATTAGTGAGTTTCACAAAATGGATTAATTTATATACTACTAGTAGAAGTATAAACTGATAAACCCTTTTCATAAAGCAGTTCTAAGATACACATCTAAAAACCATAAAAATATCTTTCCCTTAGATACAGAAATTACATTTTTCTAATCTCTCCTAAGGAAGTCAACTTAAATGTGGGTAATTTGTCAAAAAAAGATGCTTATTACAGTATAACAAAAAACTAGAAATCTCCTAAATATGTTACAGTAAAATCCTTACATTATAGTATGCCCTAAGATACAATACCATCCAGCTGATATACAAAGCATTTTTAATACATGGAAAAATATTACATATTAAGAGAAAAATGGGGAATGCAAAAATCATATGTATGCTTTTATCTCAACCTACAGTTTAAAAATGCATAGACAAGTAAATGGAAGTGATTATACCAAAATGTTAAAAAGCTTTTAATATCTGTGGTATAATTATGGGTAATTTAAAAAAAAATTTTTAATAAATTCTTATACTTTTCAGAGAGCAAATCTTTCTATAATAAAATTCTGTTAGAAGAGTTGGATCATTGTATTTTTAAGAAATCAAGGATTAACTCACAAAAAGCCATCATTTTCCTTCATCATTTTCTTTCATTCTGCCTTAAGCAGGATATTGGAATATACTAATTTCTTCTGTTTTGTAATTCTCTCCACATTAGAAAGATTCTGCATTTACTAGTATTATTTAGTGAACTACCAAAGGGAATGGGAAAGAATCTAATACCTACTGAGCACCTGTAACACAAAACACAGTGCTATTCCATTTACACAGTAATCTCATTGAATTTCCACTATGAATCTTGTCCCCATTTTGATATGAAGAGATGAAAGCACAATTAGAATAAACTGCCCACAACTGTGTACCCAGCAAGTAACAAGGCGAGGATTTGAATCTGAGTCTATCAGCTTATTCTCTTTTCACTATATCATGCTACTGCTGTCATATTTTTAACATAAATTATTTAAAACAATTTAAAAACCAGGGCTCCCCTAATGTCCCATACCAATCTAATATTTTAATGTAACACTTGGGAAAAGTCATGTTTTAAATACCATAGTAAAGGTGTCAAAAAAAACTCAGAACAGGTTGTTTGTTAGCTCCTGACCACTATTATAACTCTTAGAATTATTTCCTTCCATGTTGACTTCAAGGGTCTACTTTGTTGCTGACTTAGCCCCAGTAACAATCAAACTTGTAACAACCCCAAGATTATCCAGCTACAAAACTCTCCACCATCCAGTAACCATTACCTAGCTAGCCTACCTGGTTGATTAAAGGGACAAATGTACAAAGGAACAAATAAAGGTTCCATTAAAATCCAACCTTGTCCTCTCTGCCTTAAGTAAAAATTTAAAAAGCAATGCCAATGGAGAACCCCACTTACATAAACCACAGTAAACACCACACTATGTATCTCAGAAGGTTTCAGTTTCTTTAAATTTTTTGACATATAACAGGAAAACTACACAAATCATATGTATACAGCTCAATAAATTATCACAAACACATCTATAATTATTGATCCCTAAAAAACTGTACCCAGTACCCTTACCAATCTAATATTCTTTCCCTCTTCCCAAAAAGTAACTATTATCCTAATTTTTAATATAGATTAGTTTCAGAACTTTCTCAATTTATATAAATGGAATCTTACAATATGTATTTTTTTCATTCAGCTTTTCACTTAATAGTTTTTAATACTTATCCATATTATTTGTACTCTGTTTATTTCCATTCCTACATAGTATTCCACTGTATGAATATACCACATCTTTCTTCATTCTATTCTTAATGGATGTTTGTGTCATCTGTAACTTCTGGCTATAAGAAATAATGCTGCAAAGAACTGTCTTATATGTCTTTTGGTGCCCATGTGCATCCATTTTTTAGTATAATACTAGGTATTGTATTGAACGAAACTTTTGAATCACAAGGTTTGCATACATTCAGCTTTAGTACTCACCGTTGACTAGTCTTCCAAAGTGCCTGTACTACTTTTGCATCAACATTTGCCCTGTCAGTCTCTCTAAACACAGCTACTGTAGAGAGGGCTCAATGTTATATCATTGTGGCTTTATTTTGCAATTTTTAGGTTAACTTTCCTTATTTACTAGCCACCTGGATATCCTCTATGTCTATTCAAATTTTTTCCTGTTTTTCAACTGGATGTTATTCTTTTTAATGCATCATAAGAATTCTCCATTTATTCTGGAGAAGAGCTCTTTGTTCAATTAAATGTGTATCAAGTACCATCATCTTCTCTGACTTGCCTTTTCTGTTTGTGTGTGCACACACATAATCATCAATAAAGTTTTATTAACATAAACACACACAAAATAAATCCATATCTTTCCTGGGAATACCTATAGATACCTTTTCTCTTTCTTAATCATCCTCCGCCTTGCCTTAACATTACTTTAGTCCAGTTTACCAATGTTTTTTCTTTTTCCACCTTTCCTTAACTTTACTGCAGTCAATTTGTCAGTGCTTTTTGTAACCAGTTTCAGAAATCCCTCCCTACCTCAAAGTCATAAAGGTTTTCTATTTGTTCCAGAAAACTTTATTGTTTTACATATAATATTTATACCTATAATCTACTTGGAATTGACTTTTGTACCCAAGATGATTTAGCAATAAAGTTTCATTTTTTTCCCCCATATAGACATAAAATTGACCCAGTATCACATACTGAAGAAAGTTTTATCCTCACTGCTCTTCTTTATCACAGATCAAATATCCATATATGTGTCAGTTTCTTGGGGTTCTGGTTTATTTCTATAGTCTAACTTTACACCATTGTCTTAATGGCTGTAGTTTAATAATAAGTTTTGATATCTGGTATTCTAAGTCTTTTGATTTTGTCCTTCTTTTATACTGGTTCTTTGTAGCCTTTTGCATGCCCACATATAATATCAAAATTGGCTTTTCATTAAAAAAAAACTTTGCTTGAATTTTTATTGAAATTTCATTAATCAACATATCAGTTTGGGAGAACTGACATGTTTATAATATTTATCTTTCCAATCCATAAACATGGTATATCATACCAATTATTTAATTTTTCCTAAATCTCTCTCAATGTTTATTGTTTTCTGTATAAAAACCTAAGAGATACTATTTTATTTATTCATTAGTTGTTCTTTTTCGCTGTTATATTTTTTAAATTTCATTTTCTGTGTGGTTTGCAAAGAACATAATTTCTTTTTATGTTAGCCCAATAAGCTTTTTAACAGTTTACCTAGATATGTTCAGGACTTTCTATGTCTACAGTCACACTGTGTACAAATAAGTGCTGTTTCTCCTTATCTAATCTTTATAATTTTTTTTTCTTTCCTTATTTCTCTGGCTAGAACCTCTGAGAAAATACTGAATATAGTTTAATTCAAGCATCAAGTCTATTCTCACTTATTACTAATATATTTGGATTTAATCTTTGGTTTTATTTTTAAATGATTTTATTATTCTTGCCAATACAATATCCCTATTTCTCTTCTTTCTTGCCTTCTACAGATTTGTTTTTATTACTATAATTTTTCCCTTTTGGTTAACCTGGTAGTTTATAGACTCTTTTCCTAGACTATTAGTGGTAACAGATTGTAACAGCAATGCTGAGTACTCAAAAATCTAAAATTACTTGTTACTTTTACTCTCTTTCTGAGCAAAGCAAGGTCCTTAGAAATTAACTTGATTTACTCCCCTTCCAACTTACATGGCATTGCTGTTAATCCTACCAGATGATATTCACTAGACTGCCCACTTATTTACCTTTCCATTGCTCTTCATTCCTTCTTCTATCTCTGAGCTTCCAATTGGAAATCACTTTCCTTTTACTTGAAGAGCTCCTTTAGTATTTCCTAAATAGTAAGGGTGTGCTGGTGTTTTTATTCCGCCTTCTTTTTTAAAGGATATATTTACTGAGTATAGAATTCTAAGTTGGTACTTGTTTTTTCCTTCTTCACCTTCCACTGTTCCTGTTGAATATTCAGCTACAACTGAGACTCATATTTCTTCACTGCCTTAATAGTTCTCCAAAGCCATAAAATATAAATACATATATGCTTATTTATTTATATCTTTATTTATATATGCAAGATGTATAGTTAGTACATATTGCTTGGCTGTCATCAACAGAATTCTTTTTTTTTTAATTGAAGTACTGTTATATACTATCTTCTATCTCTTTCAAATATACAACACAGTGGGTCAACAGTTACCCACATTATTAAATTACCCCCACTAGTGCAGTTACATTCCGTCAACATAGGAAAATGCTACAGAATCACTGGCTATATTCTCCATGCTGTATTACTATCCCCATCACCAACTTATACTATGACTGAGAATTTTTATGCCCTTTTATCCCCCTTAACCTCCCCACCCACTCACCCCAACCCCTCCCACACAGTAACCACCAGTCGTTTCTCAGTGTCAATTAGACTACCATGGTTTGTTCATTTTGTTTTGTTTTTGTTTTTATATTCCACAAATAAGTGAAATTATATGATATCTGTCTTTCTCCACCTGGCTTCTTTCACTTAGCATAATACTCTAGATCCATACACATTGTTGCAAGTGACCGGATTTCTTTCTTTTTTATGGATGAATAATATTCCATGCCACAGGGGTACACATATCTCTTTAAATCAGGGATTTTATTTTCTTCAGGTAAATTCCTAGAAGTGGAATTACAGGGTCATATGGTATTTCTATTTTTAGTTTTTTGAGGAACCTCCAAACTGTTTTCCACAGTGGCTGCACCAATTTACATTCTCACCAACAGTGTACAAGGGTTCCCTTTTCTCCACATCCTCACTAACATTAGTTATTTCTTGTCTTTTGCATAGTGGCCATTTTAACTGGTGTGAGGTGGTATCTCATTGTGGTTTTGATTTGCATTTTCCTAATGATTAGTGATGTGGAACATCTTTTCATGTTCCCATCTGTATTTGTTCCCGTCTGTTGGCCACCTGCATTTCTTCTTTCGAGAAATGTCTGTTCAGGTCCTCCATCCATTTTTAAACAGAATCTTTTTAAATGTCAGTTTAGTATGCAAGAGTATCCAAATATTGAAAAATTATCATTTTAAACCTTAAGCAAAAAGTTAAACCAAACAAAAAAAACCTTAAGTAAAAAAGTTATACTGAATTTACTGAATAGAATTTGTAGTCAAAAGAATATGCTTTTGGAGAATATAGCCAATGATTCTGTAACATCTTCCTATGTTGACAGACAGTAACTGCCTTCCTGGGGGTGAGGATTTAATAATATGGGCAACTATTGTGTTGTTTACTTGAAACCACTGTAAGACAGTATTGCAACAATACTTTATTTTAAAAAAGAATTTATATGCTTTATCATTACCAAAGGTTCAACAAATAATCTTCCAGTCAAGTGATGATATAATTTATCAATGAGAGAAATACTAAAGAAAACTTTGAGATGTATTATCTGCCTCTCCATGTTTATACCCAGCATTAGCATTTCTTTTTAAAAAGGAAGAGGTATGGAAATCACACTAATAAAAACTTTTCCTTAGTACAGATTAAAGTGATTACTATTAGATAATTAAACAGCATTTTTACATAATATAAATTTGTCGAAGGTAACCTCTAAGAGGAAACAGTTTAACACTAGCAGAACCAGAACTTCATTATACTACTACTTCCCATATGACACAATTCCACAGCTTAGAACCTGAAGAAAAACTGGAGATTCTTCTAAGTTAACAATCCTGCTCAGAAAACTGCAGCTATCATCATGAATACATATTTCAAAGTCTCCATATACAGTATTTCACTAACTCTTCCAACAAAAAGGGAAAGGAACACAGCTCAATTCATTTTATAAAACCAGTATTATACTTCATACCAAAAACAAGACAAAGACAACACAAGAAAACAAAGCTACAGACAATATTCTTAATGAATGTAGATGCAAAAATCCTCAACAAAATACTAGCAAACCAAATACTCATATAGAAAGGACTGTACACCATACCAAGTGGAATTTATACCAGGAATGCAAATTTGGTTTAACATCTGAAACTCAAATCAATGTTATTGCTATAGACTTCATTGTGCCTTCCCCAATTTCATGTGTTAAACTTCTAATCTGCAATGTGACTGTATTTGGAGACTGAGCTTTTAAGAAGGTAATTAAATCACACATATACAAAAATATGTGGTATGAATCAAAGAATTTAATGTAAGAGCTAAAACTATAAAATTCTTAAGAGGAAGACCTAGGCATAAATCATGTTCATGACCTTGGATTGACCAATCTTCATGACACCAAAAACACAAGCAACAAAAGAGGAAGAAAAGCTAAATTCAACTATGGCAAAATTTTAAACTTTTGTGCTGCATCAAAGCATAAAATTCAGAGTCCTTGCCTTATCCTACAGTATCTTACAGAATCTAATTCTCTGAATTCTTCACCTATCATTTACCATCCACCCCTTACCCTACCTCCACCACAGCCACAACCGCCTCCTAGCTTTTGGTTAGCATGTTAACCACCCTTCTGCCTCAGGGTTTCTCCTTGTTCTCTCTTCCCTCTACCTACATATTCTTCCCCCAGAAATAATGCAAGCCTGGCTCCCACTTCATTCAAATCTCAACTCAAAAGTCACTTTCTTAACCTAACTTGGCCACCCTACCTAATATTGCACTCCCTTCTCTATTTTATTTTCTTCATAACATTTATCACAATCTGACATATTATGTACTAAATTGGTATGACTAATTATTTTTTGTCTTACCGCACTATAATGTAAGCTTCTTGAATAAAGGGACTTGGTTTTGTTCATGGTCGTATCCCTAGAACTTTAAACAGTGTCTGTCTGCCAACTAGTAGATTCTCAAAATCATCTGTTCAATGAATGAATAAATAAATTTAGTAAAATGTAAAGGAAGAGAAAGTCACCACTAGGTCCTTTGGCGTATAACCATATTAATAGGATCCTCTCACCTTTTCCAGATTATAATAGCGCACACAGCAATAGCTGCAATATCCTTGTCTTTTCTGCATACTGAATAACCAAAGTCAAATGGCTATTGTCCTTGAATACTCAAACTGAAAAAAGAAAAAAATGGCAAAATCACAATACTTCCTTACTACCCTGAGGAAAAGAGCTATGAAATAGCAGAGAACAGAAATTAATTCTTGAATCCTACCCACTCTTATTTCTAGTAATTATGAGATTAGATAAGGCTGCCATGAACTACTGAATCAATCAGTGAGCCTGGAGTAGAGATGAGAGGTATGCATCTTCTAAAAAAGTAGTTTGCTACCAATATTTGAAGCCTAAATGACTAAATATTTTTTATCAGTTTTCTGGTTACTTATTAGACTTAGAAATTGATTCAGTATTAAAGAACACAGTACTCAATTTATAAAGACAAATGACTATTTCTAAGTTGTTACTACATGCTCATGAGGTTCATCCATTTTCCCATTCTATTTCTATACAAAATCCTAGATTACTCAAACTCTACATGTCTTATATAATATCTAATTCTCCTTCACAAGACTAAAGATACCACACATATTTTCTGCTTAGTCCACAAAGGGGCAGATTTAAAAATAATTTAGCCAGCAAAGTTGCTAAAATTCAAAATAACAACTAATTTAGCCTCTGAAATACAAGATATTTGTCTTCTGACAATTACATAAACCAAATTAAGTATGACAAATTTTTTCCAACTGGTGCAATGAGATTTCTGTACAAATAGAAAATAGTTTCCAAATTTCGCCCCCCAAAACTAAAATCCTTTAACATTACAAACTGCAATGGGTCCCAAACATGCTAAATATCAAAATCATCCTCCAAAATTCTGATTTAAGGAAGCTTAGGGCCCAGAATACAGAACATCTTAATTTCCTAGGTAATTTTGATACACAGCCAATTTATACACTGACATAAAGTATACTCAGTTTATGACTACTACTCAACTGACACAAAGTGTATATAATTCATGATTAACAAATTCAATATAATGCAGTTTTATTGCTGTTAAAAGTGGAAACAGATTTATAAGTAATGATTTTGTCAAGTTAACTGTCATTATTTTAAAGATTCTTGTCCATTGGAAAATACGTAACAGAATGACCCTATAATGTATTACAAGTATTTCTGATGGTGATCCTGCAATAGAATAAGCTTACTCATTAAAATCAGTGCTTAAAAAATGAAATAACAACCTTAAAACCAGTAAGAGGAGAATAGAAAAGCTTCATTAAATCAAAGTAATATTACAACATTCACTTACCTATTACTTCTTATTATGATAAATTCTGATTTTCTGACTTCCCAAACTTACGGGGAAAAAAATCAATTAAATCAAGCTCTGAAATAAAAAATATATAAGAAATTACTTACTTAAAATTTGATCTTTTTTCCATTAAAATACTTCATTTATTAACTTGGATCAACAAAATAAAACAAGCTTCATTTTAAGCTGTATTTATAGATAAGACAATTTTCAGTCTGAGAGCACCCTAGAGCATAAACCTACATGTGGAAAATCATTACATAATAAAGTTTTTAGTGCTTTATTTAAAAATATTAAATTAAAACTCATTGAATGAAAGGCAAAACGAAAGTATGAGTCTTAATATCACACACCAAAAAAATTTTTATATTTTTTTGATCTTTAACTTAGGCCTTTAACTCCCATGGCATTATTACCTGCCATTTGCACCAACCTGTGCCATTTACATGCCTCAATGACAACGAGTTACAATGAATCAGAAACACTTGTTGGCATTTTAAATAAAAAGTCACATGCTAGGACCCCACCTGAAAAACTTACTGAATCAAAGTACCCTGGCAGGGAGCCAGGCACATGCATATTATGCATATTTAAAATGCTTCAAGGTGATTCTGATATGTCATGTTTTTTTGTGCACTAATAAAATTATTAAAGAGATCACTTCTTTGGGGTCTAGGATCGTTACTACTTGGCATGACCAGGTTTTCTTTTTTTCACAAATTCCGAATTCTACTGGTCCCTGGTATTTTTATGGAGTAACACATCATTTACCTTGGGCAGAAAAGGGCAGGTATTTCATCAGCTGTATTAGTCCTGGAAAACATCTGTAAATGAAAACAAAAAAAAGATAAGCCCCATAAGCACCTACAGCACTGGCCAAAGTACTCCCATGTCATATTTAAGTCTGAAAAGTGACACAAGTAAGTTTCCAATACCAGGAGAAAAAAATATTAACTCTTGAATACAAAGCACTTTACATACTATGATTCACCAAATCCCACATGACCTCCTAAGATGTTCCGGAGCAGAGTATCTATGATAGTGTATTTAACCCACCATCAAATACTCCAGCTCTTCAGGTTCCAGGAGCAGCATCCCTAAAAGAATGTAAGGCGGAACTGAGCATCTGGTAAGGTTAAGGACAAAGATGTTTCAGACCCAAAATGAGCTTCATGTTTAAAAAAATATTTATGTGAAATTAAGTTTGGATTAACCACCTCTTAGCTCCCACGTTAGTTTTAGTGAAAAATACTGTCAACCCTTCCTCATCTTCTCTATCAGCTGAATTAAGCCAAATTATCAATTTTTTCTTCTTCCACATGGTGGGCAAAGTACCAACCCATACTCATGATCACTGGCTAACAAAAAATTCCAACACTTGGCCTCCATAGAGCTAGTGACACTGCGTAATCAAGGAATAAATAAGTACTTAGCACCTACACTGTGCAGGGTTCCATGCTAGCTCTAAAGGATAGAAAGAAATACAGTAAGACAAGGTATCTTGCTCTCAAGAATTTAAAATGGCACTGGGAAGTTGATGTAAAAATGCCAGGCAGTATCTGAGAAATGCCTATGCACACGTAAGTGCTTATGGCTTCAGTTGCAAAAATTCAGTTTTTGCTGGAGGCGCCAGGATGTCACAGAACATAGTTTTTTAATTGGACACTGGGAAATGGGTATAATTTACTTACACAAAAGTCAGGAAAAGATATTCCTAGTAACAAAGAAGCAAAAGTACAAAAGCAAGAAAGCGCACGGTACATTTGGAGATAGTGAGCTGACAAGTTCAGCAGGAGTTAAGGTTTCATTTAAGAATATAAGCGGCAGTAAAGCAAGAAAGGCAGACTGAATTTCGACATGATAGGATTTAAAAGCAGACTAAAGAATTTAGACAGTATCTTTAGGCAGTGTGGAAATTTTTTGGAAAGCCATACACTAAAGAGTGCTTTAAGAAAATTCTAAATGATGATTCTTTCCTACTCAGGGGAACTTTTCACAAGGTAAAGATGTAACTATTAAACTATTGTACACCATTTCCTAGAATCCTGAAGCTTTAGCTAACACCCAAAATATCCAAGTTGAAAGAATCATATCCCTTAGGGCAAAGACTTTGATCTCATTTATCCTTGTAAATTAGGAAAACACACACAAATTATTTCTTTAAAAATTATTTTATTAATTTTTATTATGAAAGTAAAACATACTTAGTACAATTATAAAAATAAAGAAATAAAGAGCATAAAAATCAGCCATAATCCCACCACCCACCTGTAACATTTGTCATATATTCTTCTTTGTTGTAAACATGTTTTATAAAAATGGAATGGTACTATAGTCTATTTTATAGCCTTCTCTCTCACTTAACCATATATGATGAATTATATATAACTCCAAAACAGAATGTTTAATGATTGCATAGTATTTTATCAGTGTAAGATAAAAGCCCTCTTTATCTGACAAGACCTAGTAATTGGTGGGTTAACTTTTAAAAAATTAGTCAATGATTTTTAAAATACATACATAATAAATTTTTAATCTAACAAATAAATGTGTATGTGATTTAAGATCAAATTACTTTTATTTCATTGAGTTTTTTGTGCACAAGACAAATAGAGTTCTAAGTCATTTTTTTTTAATTTTCATAAATCATATCATAATTTACCATCAGTAAGTTTCCATTTGGGTTCTTCTAAAGCAGAATCAGGACCTAAAGACATTTTCAAAACTGACAGCGGTATTATAATTAATGTTTAAGATTTTCCCCAACCTTTCGTAGCTGTCACAACCAATATAGTACTTTTGCAACAGCCTTTTTCTGAGTCCAAAGCACTCAATTTGTTTTTCATAAAAATAACAATGCTATAGAAAAATAACAATGCTTACGTTCTTATTTCATTTGTTTATATAACATTTAAAACTGCATAAACTGAGGTGGGGCAGTAAACAGATCTCTGAACTGCCTCAGGTGACTTCAGCAAAAACAGAAATAAAATTGCATTTATTTTTTTTAGGACTATTTCTTGCACACCTGAGATCTGTACCTGCTGCAGAGATAAACACATAGTTGAAATGAGTTCAGGGTTGTAGTAATTTTCTCAAGCTGACTGCAGTGTTGAAATAAGTGCTAACAAAATCCAGAATCCCTCTGGGAAATATTTTTCAATTGCCTGACAAAAGAAACATCAACTTAGTATCAAATAAGACAGCAGAAGGGCATTTGGTTTATTGAATAAAATAATCTAAATCTGTCTAGCAACAGGAATATGACTGAGAAGCAGTCACATAACAATGGTAAAATAATATAAAAAGACCATCGTAATTCAGGGTCCCTTTCTTTACCACATTAACTAATTTTCAACTTCCCATTTTCTTGGACTATCCACCTTATTTATGTTGGTTTACCTCTGGTTACAAGCATTATCCTGGATACCTCCCTTCAGTCTTAATAAAATAGTAATAGCCAATTTTTAGTGAATTACAGACACTGTGTCAACAGTTTGACTCGCCTTAACTCCTCTAAATCTCAAACAGCTTACTTACTGAGGTTAGCGTTACGGTAACTGCCACTTTACAAATCAGGAAACTGAGGTTTAGAAAGAAGCGTATATCTTGCTCCAGGTCACACACCACTAATGTAGTAGCTGCGATTTGGCCCTAAGTCAATCTGAGCAGTGTATGCTCTTTATCTCTTAGCTTCTCTGAAACGTCCTCCCTGTATTTTCAAGAATGCTAATTGATTGTTTTAATATGAAGTGAAAACAAATAATTAAGAATTTCATTTGCTGCAGTAAACACTGTCACATATTTCAAAGAAAAGAGTAAAACTAACATTCAGCTTAACTGCATCACTGTTCCCATTCTGCAATGAGTGCTAACAGTACCTTGGGTGAGTGACTTGAAATTTAATTAGCATGACACACAGGAAGCAATACATTTTATATCACAACCCAGCACACAGGCACAGACATACATGCACACACACCCACACACACAGTTAAAACAAAATTTTGTAAAGCAATACCCTCATTTCATTACATGTATTAGGTGTTTTCCATGCTATCTTATTTCAGTTTTTTAAAGTGTTAGTTATGACCCACAATATTAAATTCACAATTTACTAATGGGATGAAAACTGCAATTTGAAAAAAAAAACTGCCTCAAATTATTAAGCAGAACAAACAGTATTTTCTAGAAGATGGCTGTTACCCTGAATGCCGCTTACTTTTATCCAGTATCTTTGCCATCGTGGTGATATTTTATTCTATCTTTAACGAGTTTCTTTACTAAGGCTGGCCACTGCCCAAGACGCAGGGAAAAGAAGAAAATTCTTGCCTTCCAGGATTTGGGTCCAAGTCAGTACAAATTGTGAAGGCAATGGAAGGATGTTTATACATTGACATAGGAAACGTCCTCAGTGCATCAGGTAAAAACAAGCAGATCGTAGGTAAAAACAAGCAGATCGCATTAGTACCGCATTTACATAACACACGAATACACGTTGTTGTACCCCTAAATTGTCAATAACGGCTCTTAAGAATGAGATTGCTATGAGCTTTTCACAAGTGAGTTTCCCCCACCCCGATAGTATAATTGCTATAAAATACATATATATATAATTCCATTCTGAAGACAAAAAAACGGTTTAGTTCCTTGAAAGCCAGCATCTCGTTATGCGTATCGTCCACGCGCTGCCAGTATCACCGCGTCGCATAACGTTAGGAGCTGGAAAGGGCCTTCTCAGCAGCACATAATAACGACGGCGTAATGTGACCAGATTTACACAACTGTTGCACGACAGTAAATTCGTTCACACAAAATTCTAACATTTCCAAAATAAATTCTAATCGCCAGAAGCTGGTAAAGGCCTAGATCTGCAAACAGCTGGACACACCGCAAGCATGGGGGAAAGGAGCTCTGCGGACAGGTGGCTCCGGATCTCAGCCCCACAGGTGCCCCTGCAAGTTCCCGCGGGTACAAAGCCCTAAACCGACCGCCGCAGGCCGCCCCCTTCCCAGCGCCGGCCCAAAGCCTAGTCCGCGAGCACCTCCACCCCTCGGCCCCCGACAGAAGCGCAAGCCAGCCTGCGCCCCACCTCCACCCCACGCCCAGCCACCTCGATCCCGGCCCGGAGACGCCGGCCGCGCTCAGACAGGAGGGGCGGAAAGGGGCTGCGGCGAGGGGAAGCCGAGGACCTGCGAGGCGGGTGCGAGAGCCGGGCGAGCGGTCCGGGCGTCCCTCAGGAGGAAGCAGGCGCCCGGGGCACGAGGCGAGCAGGCCCCACCCCCGGCCGCGCGCACAGAGCCCGCGGGCGTCGCCCCGGCCGCGCGCCGCCTCGGCCCGCCCCGCCCGCGCCTGCGTCCGCCCCCGCTCCCGCTCCCGCCCCCGCTGCGGTCCTCACCTCCGCGGAGGCCGCCCGGATTCCTTCCGGCCCTCGGTGGAGGCCCAGGGCCGGTGGGTGCGCTCTCTTCCTATTCCGGTTCCATGGCGGTACCCGGACCCCCGGGCTGTCCAGGGCGCCGCGGCCGCCGGCCGCCCGCTGCCCGCGGAATCAGATATTAGAGCCGCCTGCCTCTCCCGCCGGTGCGGGGCGAGGAGCGAAGCGAGCGCGTCACTCGCAGGACCCGGGCCCGAGTCACGACTCAGCCCACGCATATATCCGCGGGGAACGTAGCGCTGCAGCTCTTGATTGAGGTTTGACGTCAGGGAAGGTGCGAAAACAGGGCCCCTTCTGACGCAGGAGCCGCGAGCCCGCCCCCAGCCCACCACCGCCCCCAGCGCTGCAGCCCCTTTCCTCCCGCCCGAAGCCTCCCCTCCGCGAGATCTTTTAAAGCGAACACTTCCTCCAGGGTCAGGGCCCCACTCGAGGGCTTTGGAAATCAAACCTGTTCCAACCGAAATGACTAGGCTCCCAACGCCGTTCGTTCGCGAGATAGCCACCAAGGGTTTTGCATTTGAGAGCTCAAATAAAAATTGCTTGCCCATGCAAAGCAACATGTGAACTGTAGAAAAGAAAACGGGGCTGAGAGGGCTAGTCGTTTGCGCAGTTGTGTTTCCCGCAGTGAGCCGTATCTAACAAAAGCTGCTGTTTAATGAGCGCTTACTTTGTGCTAGGCAGTGTGTTTAAGGTTTATATTTGTATTCCTGCATTTCATCTTCAGGGCAACCCTTTATAGGATCTCATGATGAATTCTATTATCCCCTTTTGACAAACGAGAAAGCTGAGGCTTAAGGAGGTTACGTATTCAAAGACCTACACTATACAGCAAATGGTTATAAAAATTAACCAAAATCCACTTAGTCATTGATATTCTGTAATACCACTGCGAAAATGGTGGTGTGCCAAAAACAGCTTAGTGTAATGGTGGACACAAACCTAAATCAATCACACTACCAAATGTATCATAATCTGTGGTAAGGAAAATAGTCATCCCTAAAATGGAAAGGGCCTCTAATTAAAGAGCTCACGTCTTACGTGAAAATAGTCTTAGAATGAGCTACCTTGCTCTTTGGCTACTGTTGTAATTATCATTACACTCATTGGTAAGCTTGTAACTTTGCCCCTTAAAAAAAACATAAAACAAAAACTTATCCCATTGTTTTTGCGTCCACAGTTTCCGTTCTTTGTGTATTTCTCTGCTCTTGCCTCCCCCACTACGTCTTTCTCCCACTTTAAACCTGGGCTATTGCAACTGTTGGTTTATAACCCCTTTAGATTTTTTTAAACACACCAAAAAGTACTGATTTCTTTTAAGGCAAGTTCTTTCCACAGCCTAACCTTGGAACTGGTGAAAGAAAACCCATTATACATTAACCCAACCACATGCATAATGTATTTCACACACAGTATTCATTTTCAAATGCTAAGACACACATTTTTCACACTTTAACATCTCTGAAATCAGGATGCATTTTACAAACAGGTCTCCTTAATATTACTGGCCAAGTAATATATTAACCTACTTGTCATTACCTCCACATAAAGAAACAAAGAAACTTGGATGTAGCTGTTAATGTCTTTTCAGTGAGCAAGGTGCATTGTTTAATAAAACCCACAACTCTTAAGAGGAGGGAATTCACAGGCATAGGGGTCTCTCAAACTCAAGAGTTTTTCCTATGAAAAGAGGGAAGATTTTCCTTAGACCAAAAAGAGATTCCTAGAAAAGAGAAAGATAGGGACTGACTAAAAGCTATTACACTTCTAGGAGTCATGAGTTACCACCAAGTCATTAGTTCCTAATGCATTTTGGAAACCTACATCTGAACAGTTAAATAATCCAACAACCGCCCCACCCCCACCAGAAAAAGCAAAAATGTCTTAGTTATTATTCCTGTTGGTATCGTTGGTCAATTACAACCCCTCTAAATTTTAATCAAAAGAAGATCATTGAAGAAGGAAAATGAATCCAGACTGTTACCTGAAAACCATCCATTGAACAATCTATAATCTTAATTATCTATAATGGCTCAGATCAAGAAAGGGGCCAGCATCCAAACTTTCAGAATGGGATGAGCTGCTTGGAACAAATCCTAGATGCAGTAGCTGAAGATGCATCACCACCACTAGACAATACTGTATGGAAAGCCACAGCCATCAACTGGTTCAAAAAGTGGTTTAGAAAAAGTTGGCTTCCGAAAGTTTTTGTAACACCTTAACCAATTTTACTTATATTTCCCTTTTTGTCCATGTACAAGATTGAGACATAATGAACAATTTAAGTCTGAAATAGTTCTTTAACTAAGTAGTCAATAAAAATACTAAATTACAAGAAATCATGGCATTTTAGTTGGCAGCATTTTTTTTTTCCAGCATATCATATAAAATTAGAGAAAGCACTATCCTCCACCAGATTAGCAGTCATTCTAGACCAGACTTCCATCTAGTGGCAACGGGTTCTTCTTGGCAGCGCTTAATTATCTATAAGGTTAAGTTCATAAAAAGTTGTAATCTCCCAAATCCTTTATTCAACCATTACAGATCTAAACCCATTCATTCAGCAAATACTGAAAGAACCTTAGGAATCAAGACTGGGTGTGTATGCACCATTCCTTCCCCAGGGAAAAAAGGACCTATGTATGGATTATTTCATATTCTTTGTTCAAAGGAAAAAGAAAAGCTCTCTTATGCCCAGAAATCATTTCAATAATGCCTATATTTTGTAAACCATTAAAGCTAATGTTAGACTAATGTCTTAAAGAAAAAAGCTATAGGGACAACCTAGAACTCATTCCCAAATCATAAAAGAATTTAGATTCTATTAGTTTAGAGTTTGGATTGTTTTTTCCCAAAATTCTATCACTGTGCACATCTACCTATTCACAGTAAGGTGATATCATTATGAAGCTTTTACCTATTAGCCTTATATTTCACTTCTTTTAAAAACCATGATGTCATCTTTAAGGGAAAAGGATTCACTTGTATGCTCCATCAAAACAGTAACTTAAAAATTAACGACAATGGTCACAAAATATCTCCATTCATTTTGTCTTGTTCTTGTTCCTCCCCGTAAGACAGTCCCCATCCTTGACAAAAAAGATGGAGGGAAGGATGGTAGTGCTAATGTCTGTGTCTTACTGGTTATTGGAACAAGAAGCAAAAAAAGAAGGAACAAAGAGGATTGTGGAAGAGGAATGCAAGTTAAAGGACATAAAATTGGAGAGGTGTATAGTGCACACAGGATAATGGCAAGGTAACTAAATGTGGAGAATGGACTACAGGGGGAGAGTGCCCAAATTAGTCAAATCCTCAGACATCATATTAGCATTTAATACGTAATGTCTAAAGTCAGCAAGTCAATAGCAATGTAAGCCTATTTTAATTAAACATACAGATGACCCTCCAGCACTAACGACAATAAATTTTTTTTACTGGTTGCTTCTGCTTGCCAGGAGTAGATGTGAGCAAAGGAGTGACAGTAGGGCACTCTCTAATATTGTAACATTTTCCCCCGTGTCAATTTAAAATTATGCACAAAGAGATTTAACTTCTGTTATAGTCTCATCATTTTCTTCCTTCAATCTAGTCAAACCCACCCTTTTCCACTTTTACATGCTTGGATACACATGTAATACACCTTCAAACAACAACATAGCTAGGACACAGTTTGCTACCAGTAATTCTTTACTAATTCGTACTATATACTACTCCTTTTGTCTTTTTTCTTCCTCTCCTTCCCCTCTTTTGCTTCTTATCCATTTTTTTCTTTTCCTTCCTTTCTTCTTGCTAACAGAAACATAATTGTAGCCCTCAATGACAGTGCTTTCAACTTCTGGTGAGGATCAGGATTGAAAACATTACTAACCTCACACTTGTTCCTTCCTTTAATTGAAAAGTTTCAAAGCTTATACCCTCTGGAGCTTTAACTTTAAAAAATTAATTATTATTGTTTTTTTATATGATGAAGTATCACTATAAGAACTATTTTTGAGCCTTTCCCTCTATTGAAACTCTCAGGTGTTTTCACTGGTTGGCTTACAACAATATAAAATTATTTCATTTGAATATAGTTGCTGTAAGGAAGAATTTAGAGACTAAGATGAATTTCATAGACCCTATTTTCAGAAGCCAATTGGTGACATTCAAATATTATTTGGGAAGATTTCTGGAATATATTAAGCGAAACAAGCAAAGTATGATTACTCTTTGTATAAGAAGGGGTGAACTAGAAATATAAATTTATAATTGTATTTTCACAAAGAAACTATGAAAGGCAGGAAATGAATAAAATCGGTGATAGCAGAGGTAAGCTTGTGAGAAATGGACAAGATGAAGGTTGGGAGAGTGAACTTTTTCACTCTGTACTTACTATGCTATGGCTTATGAGTCTTCTGAATTTTTTCCTATTTAAAATATTAGCTAAATTAAAATTTTAACCAAGAAGCATTGAACAGTGGAGAAATAAAGTTTTGATGATGGACTCCGTAGCAGGAGCCCAACCTGGGGGTTTACGGAAAAGGGTTAAATTTTGGCATCCTCAGAATCACCACCTACAGTATTTGCTACTAAATGGCCCTCAGAATCCCTTCTGAGGGACCGAACACTGAACAGGCCAACTAGAGTCATTTTATTTAGAACCTGGGCCTGCCTGAACAATTTTAGTCCAAGCCACCACAACCTGGGAGCAGACAGACCATCCACTGCCTGACGGACCTGCATGGCATCAAAATAGATGAGCCAGGGTACAGAGGATTTCCTGACATTTCGAAAAGAATTTTGGCTCACTGTTGGAGAGGACCTTGCCCCAGGTGGCATTGCCCCAAGCCAAGGAGTTCACAGCTAAGTACGACCTCACCCTCTGCCTGAGTTCTCATTCAGCATTATCCCTTGGACTCAATGCAGTCGCATCGCTCTGCATTTATGCTATACTCCTGACACACACTTATACTCCTGACACCAAACTTTTCTGGGATTGTTTACAACAAAATCACCCATTGCATGTCTGTTTCCTGGAGCTAGCAGTTTGCTTCACTCAGGATCCTGCTATATTCTATCCTGCCTGTCAAACTGTAAGTGACAAACCCTGTAACTGTAAAGCTATACTACATAAACACAGGCTCATAAACACTGTATTATAACAATGTATCTTCAAGGTTATCTCTCCAGATACAGCCTCTCATACAAGGATTAAGCACACACTTGAGTTTGGTCTGGAGAGGTGGGTAGGATCTGTTTACACAAA